TTGAACTTTGACACTCCATCAAATTAAGTTATTTTGTTCACAGAATAAGCTAATTACAAAATTTACTAAAACCTAACAGTTTGGAGAGAACAAACCTTCCGTTTTTACTTTTTACCATATTTGTTCTCATTTAGTGATAGAAATCTCATCCTTATTGTTAAAAAATTCATCAGTATTATCATTGTTCATTCTGAAATATAGAGCAAGATCTTTTTATATCTCGCAATTTGGGAGAAAGTAATAAAGATCCATTCTATACTTAGCAACTTTCATATGATATGAAGTCAAATATTAGAACATCACAACACATGACGATATTAACTGTGGTAAAAAATATAGTTTACACATATATAACGTCGATGAATATGGAGATAGCAGAATTTTATGGTGGAATATGGTCATAGATGGTCATGTTGTATTTGTTTATCCAGCCCTTGTTAATCTCCATTATTTTTAAAATACATTTTTTCTTTTTTATTTTCAATCACAAATTTTTCAATAAAATAATATTATGCTTAAATCCAAAACTTTTCTTTATTTTTTAATCACACATTTTCCATTAAAATATCATCTCAAAATGTATTTTTATAAAAAAATGGAGTTCAAACAGGCTCTTATATCCACATTCAGTATCTTTTATAAATCAACTAATATCAATTTTATCTTTAAGAAATTCGTGAAATATTACCTGATTTATAAAAACTATTCTAATTTTGATAATTTTGCACACACAATCTTAAACAATAGCAGTTACGATTTTTTCTTGTTAAATAGTGGTCCTAGCATTAGTCAACATTGTCTGGGCTTTTTTAATTTAGCCCATATTTGATTGTGATTAAAATCAGATTTTGATAAAAGTTGATAAATGCGTGATTAAAAAATTGTGATTTTTATAAAACATATGATTAAAATTAATTGTCAACTTTGATTTAGATGAAAATATAAATTTTAATCCCTCCCAAATAGGGGTTTAATCCAAAATTGATAACATCTCATATAAACAGTTATGCAATAATGTGGCAAGAACGATTAAAAGTGTGGTTGATGAGGATTTTACCGACTTTAAGAGCATCTCCCGGATGGGTTTTCCAAAAGTGAAACGCTCTCTATTTTAAAAAATCAATCCTCAAAATTATGCTTGAAAAACTCTTCAAATTAACATTTTAAAATAGAGAGTGTGTTTGACTATTCAAACTTGCTATCTATAATTAAATGCATTCAAAATATTTCAATTTTTAATGTTTCATGTATTGGCCCAATTAAATAGTTATACAGAGAAAATAAATGGAGATAATGTAACAATTTAAAGGGAAGCTGGTGAAAATATAGGATTGAATTTTTTGTGTGTGTGTGTGTGTGTGCATGTGTGTACGCACGTGTGTGTGTATACACATTAAATTGTAAAATATTCTCTTTAAAGAATAGAGAATCTCTTGAAAATTATCTAAGGGTGTGTTTGATTGAATTTTTTTTCATAAGAAATGGTATTTTTTTACTCAAATTCTAACTTTTGAAGTGTTTATTGTCACTTTCTTTTTCATAGAAAACATTTTTCAACATTTGAAAATGTGCGTAGTTTTCCTTGTTTTTGAGAAAAATATTTTCTTTGGGAGGAGGGGGGTAGGCTTTTCTTTTTCGAATAATGCTATTACAGTAGTTGTGTCAACCGAGCCGAGCGGCTCGTCGGCTCGTACTGTTCACGAGCGGGTAGGTGGGCTAGATGAGTCGAACTCCTATTCACGAGCGGCGAGCCCACGAGCCGAGCGACTCATGGGCTCGTCTATATATAAAAAAAATAAAAAAATAAAAAATAAAACGTGACCAGAACGGTCACTGATTGTTTGGTCACTTTTTAAAAATTTTTTCCTATTTTTCTAGTTTTCTTCTCTTATAAATACCCAAC